TCAATTTATTCTAGTAATCCCGTTCGTCGGGCTGGGTAACTCTGAGGCCGAAAGCCTAGCACTGCCATGGCACAGCCCTGTTGTGCTCGCTGCTTTTTGAAGCAGCAGTTAGTCCGCAGGCCAAGTCCAGACCCCAGGCTGGTCGGGTAAGTGCAACACCCCATGCTGCTTACGTAGCCTCCCAGTCTGGCGGACGACGCACGTCGTTTGCAAGTTATGTGGACTGGGTCCCTGACTGGCGATCTGCCGCGCCATCATGCGTGCTTAGGGTCAACCAGCCATATGCTACTTTACGCTGGTTTGTTGTGTTTTGTTGTTTGTTTTGTTTCAACCTGCTCACGAACGCTCAGCAGCCGAGCAAAGCCTACAAGTTCTGTGCGAAAAGAACCTGCAGACCATTTTTAAAACTTTGAATCCTCGGGCATCTTCGGACAACGGTGTGAAACAAGTCTTGCTGAGCTTTAGGCAATTTGGCACGATTGGCCAGCTTTGGGGCCGCTTCCAGTTCTGCAGTTGTTTGCTGAATTTGTCCTATAGCGTGTCAACTCATGAACAGCCTGATGCCCGCCAAGGTGCGGGAATGTAGTTGTGGTGCATTTTGTGTACAACCAACACCGTGCTCGATGCAAGTCGTCCGCTGGAGCTGCATGGCCCCCTGACCCGGCACGCAACAGTATCCTTCACAGGGGCCATCATCATGGCCATTGTAAAACATTTGCACCGTGAGGACAGTGACAATGGTCCCCGCCTGCAATTTCCGGTATGCATTGGGCACCGCCGTAGGAAGTTCGAGTCATTGTAGATAGCCGAAGTACAGTCTCGGACCCGAGATAGCGGCTCGGTGCCGCGGTGCGTCTTGCCTTAACGAAAGAAATATCAGAGTTCGCCTGGATATCTACAGCGAATAGTTGCTGCGGACATCAACCCGCACAAACAAACAAAAAAAGGCTTCCAAGCCCGTTGAATAACCGCAACAATTTCTTGCCGAGGAGCAATCATCCCGTGATGGAGACCAACCTTTTGATTGGAGAACCCACGGCAGTCCGCACCTCTGGATTGCGTAAATGTCGGCATTAGACTCGGATAGTGTGCATCTGGTTAGTTCCATTTGAGGTCAAAACTGCTCCGTTTGAATCGCTCCCTGACTCGCATGGGGAGAAGGCGACGGGTCCGGATTGTCAGAACTCTTCTTGAGGCATTGTGTTTGGCAATGGCCGGCAGGATATAATCAACGTCAGGGTGGCGTCGCCGGCACACGAGCAGCACCTCAAGCTTGGTCTCGGACTTAGAACAACTCATGGCCACAAGTCATTGGCATCACATGAAGAGATCTTACGAACGGAGGCGTAAGTCCAGTCCTGCTGGCTGCCATCGACCAGGCCCGGCTGTAGGGCCTGTTTCATGTTCAGCATAGGATGCACGCAGCGCCCCTGGATGACAGGCTTGCAAGACCGCCTGAGTCGCCAGGCAGTTCATTTGGCTTTGTCCGTGTGAGAGCCTTGGAGATCTCGATCTTGCCAGCCCCGGAATGGCTGCACAGGTATTGTGAGAAGTCGAAGTCGTTACCGAAACCTTCTGCATGCCTCGGGGGACCAAATCATGACGTACTTACCGAAGTCCGTGTGGTTGGGGTTTGCTATCCTCGCAATCGGCCATCTACCACACACGAAGTTGTTTCATGACATTGCCGGTTGCGCTTTGCACCGTATTCGATTCTACCAAAGTCGTTGTGGTTTTGTTTTCGCGGGCGGCAGTAGGTTACACTGAGAAAGATGATAAGCATGCAATATCGGAACATGGGCCGAAAGCAGAATCATTGAAACCTAATTGGAGGCTCTCATATCATTTTTCAAAGCCACAATACACACTCATACAACATGGTGCTTGAAATCGGGTTTGGAGGTATCGTCTTAATACGAACAATAGAGAGGGACAGTTATCGTCCCAGACCTGAAGAAAAACAGCAGTTGTGAGTCTGGGACTGGAACTGTGACCGGAGGATATCCATAGATGTCCATAGTGTACGTGAAAACGGGGTTTGTGTGTTGCGGTCACTTTTTCGCTTGCTTTGAGGGTGGGTTCGGTGGTGCGTGCGGCTGGGGTTTGGGGGATGCGGCTACTGTTTTCGCTCGATGGTGCGTTTAAGTTTTGGGGTGGCTACTGTTTCTTGCTGGCTTTGCGTGTATGTGCCTCGCGAGCAGATGGGGAAGCGCTTGTCGGGTGATGACTTGATTGACTGCTACGTAACCGATTTGTTCAGAGGGGTTTCATCATTCACTGCAGGACCGGTTGGGACTTCAGCATTTGACAGTAGCACCTTCTGCGTGTGCAAATAGCCGCATCTTGAAGTTGATGTCTGCAGTCGAAGGCATTCTTTAAAGGATACAGGTCTCGCAGGCCTCAACTACACGCTTTCCATTGTAAGTTTACGAGATCCATGTTGCAAGTGAGGGTCATTGGCGATCTGAGCTTCCAAGGAGGATTTTTTACCGCGGGCATACAGGTATTTCCAAGTGCACAGTCCTGAAAAGAGATGGCCGGTATGACGGCTGGCGAGCTTTTCTTCAAGGGTTAAGTGACTGAGTTTGGTGTGTTCCAACTAGACAAGGAATGAATGAGTCAATGCATGAACACAGTATGCTCGGCTAGTCTGAAGGCGCCGATACGCTCCCTGTGGGTGGTGCCAGCCCGTCGCAAGTGCAGTGGCCTAGGAGCCGCTTTTGTCGGCTGCATGGGAGTCCAAAGACACTCTGAAAGACATCAACAGAGTACTGCAGTAACGCAGAGTACAGACTCTGGCTTCGTGCGAGCTCGGCGGACTCATGCTTCGCTGACAGCGCTTCGCATGAGCTGCAAACCCCAGCAGCCAGCAGCTCGCAGGCCCTTTGAGCGGAATCATATTTAAATTTGCGCGTCGATGTCAGCGCCCGGTTCCTGTCGAAACTGGCATTCTACTTTGCTCAAGGCTCTAGTTTGCTGTGTCCGGCCGGGTCGCCGCACACTCCGAGTTCTGAGGCTTAGGTGCAACCGCTGGCCAGGAAGGATGCTGCCAATGTGGCATAAGTGCTTCCGACTTGCCAACCGTTCCTTGCGTCCGCTTCCATCCTTCTGAGTGGCGGTTCCAGTGGCAAATTTTGCTGCGTTTGAAGCTGCAGTGCCATTGGAAATGCACTGACTGCCCTTTGCTCAGACGACGCTGCTGATTCTTTTAATCATTGTTCAAGCGCAGTTCCTTCTGATCGCGTACCGGTGCTTCCCAAGATTCGTGTGTGGGTCGTAGTTTTGGTCTTTGTGCGGTGAGTGCTGGCCGGTCGTGCCTCCCTGAGAGTCATCCACATCCCTTTCACGGCTTTTGGTGCTACTTGGGGAGCACATCTTCCACACAGGAGGAACGGCAGAACGATGCGAGAGAGCAGTTTGCGCTTTCGCAGCAATCCCGATGAAGTCGGCAACCAGGTTGAGCATATCAACAATGGCAGCTTTTCTCACCGTCTTTCCCCTACTGGTTGCCCTTTTCTCTGAAGGCTAGAAGCCGTTGCCGTCCGTGCAGGTGTAGCAGTAGGACACGCGGAGATGTTCCCTTGTGGCGTATCTACAGAGAATCACGGTCAAGCTGCCAGACAAGCTGAATTGGAGAGAGTACACACAGAGGAGCATGAAGTGTAGCATTAGGATTGCAGGGCACATGACATGCAATGTCTGTCATCGAAGGCACGTACGACGTATTCCTTATTGAAATGATGTTGCCAAGGGGGTACTTCGGGAAGCCATGTACGGGCTCCATCGTCTCTCCCATGGCCACCATGGTCGGCCAAAGGGGTCCTTAGCCGCCTTAGCCTTCTTGAAACTTATCGTATAATACATTTTACCCACAGCGTGGCTTATGACTCCTGCGGTGCGCAAATGACGCACACACGCATCTGCAGGCGGCTGTCAGACAAGACGTTGCTCAACTAAGAATTGTGTTTGTGGATGTGCGAGCTGAAGTAGCTACTAAAAGTTTTGCTGTGCGGCCGCCACATCTTCCACGGTGCTCAGCACCCAATGACGGTAATCTGTCCATCCGCACCTGCATTGCTGGTGACCCACGATTTGACAACCAATTGTCACGCTAGATAGACTAGCCATGCAAAGTCGATTTGTTGCCTAAAATCCATGCGCAGAACCTTCTCTGGTAAAAGGTGATTCCAGACTTTGTTGTTGGCGAGCTTCCTACAAGGACCGTACGGCGGGTGCAGATTCCGCGCGACCCATCCAAGTGCGGAGCACCGTCGCAGCTTAGAGCATCTCACATCCGATCCTGGCCGGTCAGTTATGGTTGTGGGCAAGCCTCTCCGGCGATTTGGAACGCAGGACTACAGCAGGAGGTGGCTTGCTCGCTTGGGGTGAAAGGGTCATAGCAAAAGAGGTATGGACGACGCTATTGTGTGCCGGTTTTGCTGGCCTGCGCCAGCCACGCTCAGTTCCCTTTCTCAGGTCACTCTCGCAAAGCCCTGGTTCCACTGTGAGTGATGCAATGATACACTACATGTAAGGATTGTCATTTTTCCATGTGCGGCTTTGGACTCATGGGACGGGCATTGGCGATGACTCGCAGGAGGGGTGAAGAATTAGTTTTCAACCTGAACGGTGTCTTGTAGAAGAAGGCAAGTGGGGAACCCGAGCAGGTTCCCTGATGCCGCTTGCCATAGAGCTTCGCTGAAAGAGCACAGCACGGGATACATGTCAGCTGCCAGGCTGTAGAGACTCTGAATATCAACTGTGCGCTGATCCTCCCGTGCAAAAAGAGTTGTAACCGGACATGCCAACAGATGCCAGCTGTGTCCACTTCGCCTTTGCTCAATTGCAGAGCACTTGTTCACTTGTTCTTTCTGCAATCCTGGGGTCTGCATTGCTCGTGTTTCTGCTCGAGAGCCCAAGCCCAAGCTGCAGTGCGCTAGTGGAGGGCCAGGAAAGGGTGATATGCTGGCCCTGGCCAGAGCTAGCTGTGCCTCTGATCGATGATCCTTGAGCCTGTAACTGCAAGTGCGAAGCGTTCGGCCTCCCTGCCAGCGCAAAGGCCGACCCCACGCAGCGTGAGCCCCTGCCCTTCTCTGCAGTACCCCTCGTTCCAGTTCTTCAAACCGCCGAAGCCCCTCGAGCTGGCTCCTAGCGCTCTTAGCCTTGCCGCGGCTACAGAGCACGGGAAGCTGGGCGCCTGTGCTTGTCCTTCGCGACTACCTGATCCCCTTCCACTTCCGCTGACCCAACCGACTCCTCGGTTCGCTCCGGTACTCCCAGCTTTGGAGAGCAAGTTTCAGTTTCTGAAGAGCCCTACCCGAAGGGAAGGTGGAAATCGGGACCGCCGGGACCTGCAGGAGCTTGAGCGACATGTGCTCGAACTGGTGGAAGGTCAGCGCGGTCTGCGCAGAGAGCTTCAGACCTTGAAGCAGCAAGCAGCAGCTCAAAGTCGTGAGCTGGAGTCAATGCGTGCGCATGTTGGGCGTCCAAAGTTGCCACCAACACGCAGTCCGGATGTTCCTCTGCCTCTGTCGTTCCGTGATGGGAAGCCAGCTTCGGCGGCTCGAGCACGATCAGGGAGTCGACCTCGGATAGCCGAAAGTGCCCCGGGCGATCCGGTGGTGAATCCTGCAGCTTCAATGCAAAGCCGCGGTCAACATTGGGATGACTCTGTTGCAGATTGCTTGCTCTGTACAAAATAGTCTATGAAACGAGCCGACACGAAGTGCGGGAGAACATGCCGTCGGTCTGATGTGTTTTGAGCTGAGCCTGGAGTCTGTCACTGCACAGGAACATGACATCTTTTCAGAGACAGCAGCCTAGCGGCTGAGCCTAGCATGGTCGGAGAATATCTCTCTCTCGTTCTTCGGCAAGGCCTCCAGCTTCCATTGGAGGTGAAGTATTGGACTCGCCAGCAGCTGGAAGTGTTCGGACCTAAGTAGTCAGCGTGCAACTTCCCAGAAAACATGAGAAGGCTCGTTGGGGGTCTCAACGTGGAACGTGGGCAGGTTCGTCATGAGCGGCGGCGTTCTGCGGCCCAAGAACTGCTCCATACCCGATGAGCGTCTTCTGGCCCTTTGGCCCGCAAATAGACTCAGTGGGAGGTTGCGACTGCAGAACTGAAGATGCCTGCCTTGTTGAAATAGAACCTGTCGGATCCACAGTTCATGCGGTATGGGTCGTGACAATTGCAGAAGCAAGAGTTCGTGGCTGCTCGCGTCTCATTAGCAGGCAAACGCATCCATGAGCAAGGATGAGATTGTTCACTCCTTGGCCCAGGCTTGCACAGTTGCGAGACGAGAAGTAGCGTTTCTGAGCTTTGTCTAGGCATCCGCGAGATCGTGCGAAGTTGTCGCACTTGTCATTGAGTCATGAGCGACACACAGATGAGATCTTGATTTAGGGGTTGATTTTCTTTGCCTGCCGTGTCCTGTCGTCATGTGTCATAGACTTTCGACATGGAATCCAGCTAGACTCGCCAAACGGGCCGAAGAAAGCCCGACTCGTCCAGACGCAGTCTTTATCGCTGCACTGCAGGCGGCGGAGTGGATCGCCAATGCAGATGCGCTGCTAATTGGCAGCGGCGCATGGCACTGAGGGTGAGTCTGTGCGAGAATGAGCAAGCAGCACACAAGCAGCAACAGCTCAAGTGCGAACGTTTCGAGGCTGGGATGGGCGTGGACTCCGGACTAGGTACTTTCCGTGGCGGAAAGAAAGGCCCGCCAGCAGCCAGCATGCCGTATTGCCACGCCAGAGCGACGATGAAGTGCCTTCCTAAGGTGTCTGGGATGGCCTGGAGGCAGTTGGTTTGGCATACGAGGACTGCGACACAGACATGAGTGGCCATACAGTGCACAGCGAAGTCCCAGCAGCCGCCAGGAGATCTGCGAGCCTCGATGGTTCGACGAGGTCACAGCTTCGAGACACTTGCAGTCCGGCAGTATCCTGCACTGCCTCACATGCTACAAGCGTCTCGCAGGCACCAACGTATTGAACAAGAGCACATGAGAGCACCTTCAGAGCCATTTTCAACAATTCAGGACTAGATGTCTTAAGTCGCAGTAGTTTTTTTTGTTTTGTTTTCGGATCTGCGCATTAATGCAGTCAAAGATTCACCTGCCGAGTTGCAGATGCAGTCCAAATATTTCCAAACATGGCTTCAGGCATCCGATCGCCTTCGAACCTCCCTTTTTGCTTCATCCAATCCGATGAGCCACTCATGCAGCGTTGCTCTCAATGTACGCCAAATTTGAGCATATACGTTTCACCGTGCAGCTTAACCCAGTGTGAGGTTGTTGCATTTCGATCACCACTACTGCCCTTTCCCATCCCCACAATGATGGTTGCAAGCAGTAATTCGCAGCTTTGGTGAGACCTCCGGCGATCCGCGATTGGCCTGGGGCTTCTGGAACCATTGCTACCGCGCATACCAGGACAGCCGGGTGCATGTGAATGTAGGGTGAGCAAGTTGCCGCCGCCTTGCACAGGAGACCAAACCACACTCGGGTTACGGTGCCCTGAAGCAGCTCGGTGTGGGTCTTGGCCACCAGCGTGTCCACCCTTGTTACAGGGTAGATATGGCCTGAAAAGTTCTACGAGAAGCGACAAATGACTGCGTCCAGGTGGTATCACGTGGCAGCCATTAAGACTCTCAAACAACAGTGGACTATCGATATCGGATACCGGAAAAGGTGTCGGAGATTGATCCAGAAAGCTGTTGTTGACTCGCATCATCAGCACAAACCACAGAGCATCAACTGCTTTTGCCACTCTGCATCCCGCGGCTTGCGCCTGCAAAATGACGGTCTCCCTGCAGACTCAAACCCCGGCCAGCGCTGCAAACTCGTTAGTATTTGTGGTGACAGCTAGCAGCATCTTTCCAGCCATGCCCATCTCCGGGCTGCTGAGTGCTGCAGCGCTCGGTGGTGTGGGCCAGACAATATGGCAATACAACCGAGAGCGACTTGGACAAACTCGTGGGCAGGGAGGTTTTGTCAGGATTTCTGCCCCCCCCCCACGCATCACAGTAGACATCAGTAGACATGACAATGGAGCAGGCCAAGTGCTGTGCGAGTAGCGGTTTGATTGCTTGATCAGGAACTACATGTTCGATGTCCCTTTACGACAAGCCCGTGAGTTCCAAGTGCAGAACGTGAATCTGGCACGCAGCCTGGCGAAATTCGTAGCTTTCGATTGACGGGTAGTTCTTCTGGTCCAGGAACATCAGATCCCGGCTCTTGTTTGAGAGACAGTGACAATACGGTCTTTGGGCTCCTACAGTGCTACTCACTTCCTCTTCTGAAGAACGCTGCCGCTGAGCCGTTGCTGCTGCGCAGCGCATCGTATGCAATGGAATTTCAAGGTTTTGCCCTCTTCCGAGAAGACATCCGTGACCTTGCAGCTTTGACGACTGACAAGGTCCAGGTTTTTGTGAGCAAGTTGGCACAACACCTGATTTGCTGCTGTGGCAGGTGGCGAACCTGCTGGTTGTCAACACTCTCAAGGCTATGCGAACTTGGGGCATTGGAGAAGTCACATTGGGTTTGAGCTTGTCTGTCACTGGCTCTTGGATCGATGGCAGGTTGGTTTTATTGCCACCTGGCCAACATTGGAATTGTTGGACTTTTTTGGCTGAGGGGATGTGTGCATGTGCTGTCTGTCGTCAATCGCACGTGTATAAGTGCCGTGCAGCTCGCTGTTACCCCGAGCTTGGGCTGCACGTGACAGCTCGTTGGGGAACTTACTGGTCCTGTCGCATTTTGCTGGGGGATTAAGATTGCTCTGTACTATTTCTCGCGGGCAAAGGGCCGGAGATCTCTTGCTTTGTGCGCTTGGCATCAGCTCGACCACGAGCCATATCCAGGTAGCGCTGTACTTCAATTTCGACCGCACCGACAGCGGATTCCAAGAACGGACCTATCAGGAGGATCAGCTCGCTGTACTTCTGCACCTTGGAAGTTACGAAGGGCGCAATCTGACGAGTTTTGTGATGAATACATCGTGTGGCAAGCTTTGTTCTTCAATGTCCTTCACTGAGGGGAATGACTCTCCTGACGTCCTTTTTTTTCCTGATGACTTCGATGCGTGGATGCAGACATGGGGTTTGCATTCTGTGTGGAGTGCTCTCCATTGCCCCACTGCCACCCACTGCCATTTCTATCCAATCAGAGAATCACAAACCTGCTGTCAAGTAAGCCGTGCGGCCGGTGTGGTGCCCAGGATATGGTTCGCTATGCACGCGCTGCAGCTGGCTCAAGCTATCACTACCAAGCCTCTCGGTGGTGAACTCGTGCAGAAACCACCAAACGTCGCTTCGCTGTTCTGCGGAGTTCCGTGCCCAGGCTTCTGGTGCAGGTCGTGCGCATTCCCATGCCATCTGAGAACGAGATTGCCAAGGTTGGCAAGGGCTAAGAGACTTTGAAAAGGTGTCGTTATGTGTCGTTAAGGAGGGTAAGCCAAGCCTAAGAACAAAACATCCGTACGTGTGGGAACACTTCGGATCAAGACTGCACGACGACAGTGACAGGACAGGACAGCAACATGATACACATGACATCAAAGCAGCAAGGCCACTTTGATGTCAGACGGACAAGTGCCGGAGTGGGGCTTATGTGAGCAGGCACGTGAGGTGTCAGGCAGGCAAGAGCACAGGAATGTGCCTTCAAGAAGCAGCGTTGACGAGATCTTAGCAACGCGATATTGTGCTCCGTTGTTGCTGCCCAGCATTTTTCGGTTGTTGAAAGAGAATTCCCCGAACCTGAAGATGTAGTTGTCTTATAACTCTGCACGAGCGTGTGTGTGTGTGTGCTCACTTAGACCTGTTGTCACAGGGCCAAGGCTGCAAAGGAACTTGGACACAACTGGTGGCCGGGCCACTTGCCTCACAGTGCGGGACTGCAGGGACAGGGTCTGCGTGCGCAGCACCCGCTGAATCATCGACTCGATGAAAGCTTCTGTACGAAAAAAGACATGCCCTCGCGTGGGGCTTCTGTGCAGATGGATATATCTTCCCAGCTCTGTGATCGGGCTGGTCGTTTTTCTGATGATGATTTGCGAGCGTTGCCGTTCGGCGAATCCTGATGTGATTTCGATCGCTGTGACTCCACGTTCGAGAGCGGCGAACTTCGTGAGCTGTGGCTAAGACATGTCAATGTGATTTGGCGTTTTATGAGGTTTTCTGATGCTACATGAGGAACGAGATAGGGCCGGCAGTTGAAGCGAGGTGGTTAAGGACAGTGGAGAGTGTGCATATATATTACTTATATTCATGCTATGCGCATTTCAGTCATTGCTTCAGTCTGACTTACATGAACTGATAAAACGCTATTGAGACACTCAATGATTCTCAAATAAAGTTTCAATATAGATGCTTCGCGTCGTCCGCCTAGCCCGGTTGTAGCTGAAGCAGCTGCGATTCCAATCTTTAGGGACGGGGGGTGGGGGGGGGGGCTAATGAGGTGGGAGAAACGGAATTCTCTGTGAAAACTCTGGCCCGCTTCGGAGGCGAATATATGTTTGCTAGCGCGAACACGTTTGGGCTTTTGGTGCGGCGTGGCTAACATGTGGGGATCAATGATTGTTTGGCAGCCAGTGCTTCTTTGCAGAGCATTGCCAGGCATCCACCGAAGGAAAAGATTTCGAGCTGAACTTTCGCGAGGCCTCCGGAAGTCTCGTCCGTCCGTGCACAGTTTTGTAGCTTAGTGAAGCGATGCAATTCTGTTTGTTGTGAAGAGCTTTCTTTGTTACAGCTTTTGGATGCGAATGCATCGGTCTCAAAGGCGCTCCGACTGCCGTTCGTTCGTCCTGCGGCGCTCAACAAGGCAACGAGTGAAGCGGGCAAATTGTGGTACCGTGAAGATTCGTCCTGCGACGATCCAGGACACTCTGCGGGATCAAATGAAGGACGTCGGCCGTCAGTTGCCGCAGCCGCTCGCATTGCACAAGCGATCTGGCCGTGTGCACACTCTGGAAGCACCGAGGTTGGCCGAAGAGGTGAACCGGGAGGACTCCAGGCACAGCCGGGCAGTAGCAGAGAAGTAGAACATGATCGCCGTCCGCAGGCGCTGCTCTTCCCACTAAGAAACGCTTGCCAAACCTTGAGAAGGCTTATGGCCCCTGGCGCCCCCGGCCTGCAGGCTATCAAACGACACCCGTGCAGCCAGCCCGGCGGCGGCTCCATCTCCGACAGATTCCAAAGGCCCTGGTTTCCCACTTGTGCTGTGTAAGTCCGTGTAAATTCGCCAAAGGCACGCCGTTGCTGCAGACGACGAGACCCATGAATTTGGAGGTGTCGATGCAGGATGCTGAAGGGGCGGTGGAGTGCAGCTTCTGAATCGAATTTGCGGCTTTTCGCTCTGCTAGCCGCAGCTCGCCGCTGCTTGCCTGCAGGAGCTGCTGCACTGCCTGCCTCCTCACGCTGCCGGAGCTTTCTCCGAGATGGAGCCGCAACTTGGAGTGAACGGCTCCAATCTGCCTCTCCCTATGTCGTACGTCAAACAGGGCTTCAAACTGCCTCCTGCCAAGGCATCTGAAGCTACTTTGCTTAGTGGCATCTGCCTGGCAGCCTTTTGCATCTTGGCCGCACGTCCTTCAGGATATGTGGTGGCCCGTCGCATCGAACAAAATGGCTGCACGTGCTGCAGATGCTGCACTGATGCTGCAGTGATGGGGAAGCATGTCCTGTCTTCAAATTATCCGGTGGCGCGGGGTTGCTTCAAGTGATTCTTATTGCAACCAAGGACCTGTACAGCCGGGTTACTACAGACGCCTGGCTGTTTTAACGTATTCTGTTTTCCCAATCGTGGCTAACCCCCAGTGGGTCAGGTCCTCGGATCTTCCTGTCTGTTCAGTGGCTTGGCATATTTCTCCTTGCCCCTCGGCTGCAGGATGATTGGGGGACCAGGAGCAAAAGAATACTTTTGCCCTTTGGGCCTGTGAGCTTTGGAGGTACTACAACAAGTTTGACGTTGACGGAAGCAGCAGCATGCCCACGGAGGCTGGGAGAGGAGAGCCACCATGGCGTACCTCCCGCATTGCCGGAGCGAGGCTTGGTGCAGCTTTTTGTTTATGTCGACATTGGCTTGGTGGAACCTCACCATCGAGATTTCAGGCCCCATGCTCACATGGGCGATGGCGTCATGATAGGGTTGTGACGGTGGTGAGACGAGGTAGCAAGCTGGACCTTTTCGTTGCTGCACTGCTAATTCTGGTTGGTCCGACGCTGTGGCCTCGGCCTGAGCGCCCGCTGAGCCCGCCCGCTGGAGTTGTGGAGCCGGGCACCTTTGGCTCAGGGTGGCCTCGAACAAGCCGACACTACATGCCAGCGTGATGCAGCATTTCGGCTACCCGGTGTTGGTGACCATCCAGGCCCTTGCACAACCTTTCGTTTTGCCATACGTTCCAAGACCCATGAGAGGCCTCCTGGATTTGCTTCTTGGGCATCCGAGCCTTCACGTGTGGTGGGGTGACTTGCCGAGAGACGCCCAGAGCGCGCGGCGCACACACCACCTTGCTTGCTGCGTTGAGGAGTGGCCTCACTTTTTCACGAGCACCCGCTACCTGAACGTTGTCCACAAGCAACGGGGTCCCATCGAAATCCCCGTGGACATCGCGCGGAAGGCTCCTTTCTGTTCTGACACAGATTCCACAAACACTGCTGGCTCGAGGTGCATGAAGACGAGGATACTTCCACGGAGTCATCTGTCAATTTCAAGGACCTGCCTTGTCCTCCCACCCAGCGAACATCTGTGCAGCTCAATCCCAATCGCTCCCAGGATTCGCAGCATGCCATGGCCTTGGCGCAGCCGCTGATCGATGTCTTAAGCCTCATGCCTTGCAAGAAATGGGAGGTTGTTTGTGTAGAGATGCCCTGCTTGCGAAGACTTGCTGCAGGTTGCATCGGCGATTTGCCTCAGTCCTCCTCTTCCCGTGCGGCTGTGTTCCAGGCCATTTACATCTCAGTACTGCGATGATCAGATCAATCAGATCAAAATGTTTCGTAGGCCAGAGACTGGCTGAGAGAGGCTGCGCGCCTGGGCCTCAGAGAGAGTGCAATGTCGCTTGTGGAACTCCGACAATCCGACCGAATTCGAGGTGCTGCTGGTGTGTTGCGCACATCTTTGATGGTCAAGGGCTTTTGGATCTACCTGCCAATGACGGGGCTGGACAACGAGGAACGCTTCAACTGAAAGGGTCTCTGATGTGTGCGCAGCCTTTTTGAGCTGAATGAGTGCAGGGTGCTGTGCCCCACTGGGTGGATATTCACAGCATTGACTTCCCGAGTCTTGGCAGTTCGGTTTGCTCTCCATCCTTGCGCTGCGGGTTTTCATCGATGCTAAGGGAGAACTGCAAGGATGAGTCTCAGTTGCAGACGAGATCAGTATGGGTTTTGACATAAGCAGATGTCTCTATAGGTCGTTGAATGTACTGTAGCAACAGCATAATCAAGCATAATTGGCTTGTCCAGGCGACTGAAGCATTTATGCTGCCGGAGCTACTCCAAGCTGCAGACCTGGCTGCGGAGACCCTGCACGCACAAGCCGTGCACTGGACCGCCGGGAGCTGAGACCTGCGCGGGTGAAGCGGTCTAGCAGACTCTAGAGTTCTTAGGAAGTCGGGAACCCGGATAGCAATTGCCCAGGCCCACGTGACATCCACAGCGGCCATAGGAAGCAATAAATGAGCGAAAACTGTTATAGTTAGGGGATCAGGAGTACAAGTAGCAGCAGGGGCCCAAGGAGTACCTGCAATCTGTACCGGCAGCAGCAGCATGTTCGAGTTCGAGTGGAGTGGAAGTGCTCACATCATCCTTGTCTGTCCCGTCATCGACCTTGTGCAGGTGCATGACATGCTCAGACTTGCATCCTACGGAGGCACGTTGGAGTCTGACATTGTCACTTCCGTGTGGCTTTGTGTCGATTGCATTGCAGACGTCCTCGCTAAAGCTGTGAATCTCCGCGAAGTGTGCACGAAGCCTTCGACAAGAAGTAAAGCCCCAAGAACCTCAACTTGCGCTGTACAGCATACTGAGTTTCAAAGTGGAGAACACTATGTGCTGGGTAGTTGCTTTCCTGCACAACTATGCCAGTTGTGACTCCAGGGGAACCCGTCACTGGCGTGAACAGCTTCCTCTTTCAGTTCGAGAACATCTCGGACAGTGCCTGACTATTCGTCTTAGTTTAACAAGATGTTGCACATGGGGCAGGGAGGAATGTCTAGAGCTCGACTATTGTGTGGTGCAGGAGCGGATGCGAACTTTCGTGCCTTCTGCGGACTATCTCTTCAAAGTTGCAATGGCTCTTCAGCTGATGCAGTCCATTCGGCCACAGATCGGATCGTCCACCGCGTTCGTGTGTACATGGACATGAGATGAATTCCGCACTCAGGGCTTGGTGTCACTGTTTTGGATCATGGCCTCTTAGCTGCAGGCCAAGTCAACCACTTTTTGCAAGGTTCCAGAAGGGTCCACCGATTTGCCAGCCTTTGCGGAGAGTAGGACAAGGAATCTTTCCTACTGCTTGCCCTTCCTCAGTTAGCGTGGCAACGTCTTCCCAGGTTTGGGTATGGTCCATCATGGCTGCCACGGAGCTATTCCGGAAAGTCTCCCTGAGCGGCACGATGCAGCCCTTCGCGCTGGACACTCCGCACGGATCTGAGTAGAGCAGGTGAACCTTTAAAGCCTTAGAGCCTTAGAGGACCCTCCTTACTGACCTTGTGCCCATCGTCCCCAGGTGGCGCACAGTGACTTCTTTCGGCTGCACGCTGGAAGGAGCCAAGCGAGAGCACTTGACTTAGATTCGCAACAGCGTCCTGGAAACAGGAGAGCACTATGTCGTGACAGATTCCGTGGTCGTTCAGATCCTGTCAGAGGCAGGGTGAGCACCATCGAAACTCTACAAGGAACATGAGCTTGTGCCAGGAGGGAAACGTCTGGCTCCAATTCGGTGCTTGTGATGGTGCCCCGATCCTTGCTGTGGATTTTGGCCAGCAGGGCGAGGTGGTCGCCACCTGCGAGCTGCTCGGACAACTCGGTGAGAGTCAAGGTGGCCAAAGTCGGAGAACTCTAAACCCCTCCGCATCCGTGGTCGCCTCCAAGGAGAGGCATCCAAGCCACCTGGCTGTCCGGTGCGAAGGCCGTGGGCATTCCTCCATTTTGTCCCGGACTAGCATCTCACGAAGCCGTTCCAGCTGCGAGTCATTGCTTTCATTTTGGTGAGCTGCAAAAGTGTGGAAACCTGTGGGCCGAAGAATAAAATCCATACTCTAGCGAGGCATAGCATGAAGACAGATGCGCAGCTCAAGAGAGCAAGCACGCTTGAAATGACTGTCACACGCCTCCCTAGATCGATGTTCCCTGCAGCTTTTAATCCTCCAGTGTCGCAGCTTGCTGTCCTGCCGTCGTGCTACCTAGCACTACCCAAGGCCACGGCCGGATATCTGAATTAATGCGCCGATATGAGTCCATGTGCAGATAATGCCAAAGCATGCCATAGCAATACATCAGGTCAGCCAAATACCAGCAGGCAACTCTCTGCAGTCTTGTCTGTACAACAGATTTCGAGAGACATAGTCTGTGTCTGCGTAAACTTATACATGTATGCCTACACATTGTCTGTCTGTCTACCTGCCTGTCTGTCTGTCGGTCTTTCTGTCTGTCTGTCTCTCTGCCTCTCTGTCTCTCTGTTGCTCCGGCTCTCCGTCTCTTTCCGTCTCTCTGCCTCTCTGCCTCCGTCTGTCTGTCTGTCTGTGTCCGTCCCTCTGTCTTTGTCTGTCCATCTATCTGTCCGTCTGTGCCTATCTGTCTGCCAGTGCCTGTCTGCCTGTTTGTTTGCCTGCCTGTCTGTCTGCCGGTCTATCTGTGTTTAATGTATGTTAGTTACACTCATAAACAGCCACCCATGTCCATGTCCGCGTCTGCATTGACCGAGTCGCAGCAGCGCAGGTGCAAGATCAGTTCTGGGTGTCCAACATCTCGAACTTGCAGGATGTTTCAGTGGACCGGTCGCCGTTGCAGGCATCCGGGCAGGGTGCCACGGTGGACCCTTAGTTTGATTAACTTGAGTCATTGAGTGCAGTCCTGGTGGTGATTGATAGTTTGGCACGGGGCGGTTTTCTGCAAACTCGGGGGGGGAGGGTCACCACCCCCCCCCTCACCCCTACGTGTGGCAGGGCGGTTCAGCACCCACCCCCCGCCCCCTCCACCTACCCCCCCAACCCACCCACGCCCCCCCCAACCCACTGCAGTAGTAGTAGTAGTAGTAGTAGTAGTGGTAGTAGTGGTAGTAGAAGTAGTAGTACTCGTAGTTGCAGTATGGTGGTAGTAGTAGTAGTAGTAGTAGTAGTAGTAGTAGTAGTAGTAGTAGTAGTGGAATACATGACGATCGTAGTAGTAGTAGGCCGGTGACCCTTCCTGGACCCACCTCCCGTGCATGTTTCAAGCCGCAATTAATCATCACTATGAAATGCTGGGGTTGATGCCGAAGATGATGTTGGATGTTGTCACGCACATTTCCGATCGACTCGACGGGGGGGTGGGGTGGGGGGCTTAATGACGTCCTGTTCGGCATGAGTCTTGAACACTGCAAATTTCCGATCGACTCGGGGGGGGGGGTGGGGGGTGGGGGTTTGATGATGTTCTGTTCGGCATGAGTCTTCAACACTGCACGGCATGAGTCTTTGCGTCGTACTTGAAGGAAGAAACCCTCCAGTGGATTAGGCTTGCACATGTCGTGAAAAACTGGGCTTCGCCTGCACGGGGAATGGTTGGCCAGGACACGTATCACCTGGATGCAATCGCTATCAGCAGGGAGCCCAGATTTTTGTCAGCTACAGGAGCTGTGCACCGGACTTGCTCTTGCCATCCACCAGCGTGCCTGGTGAAAAGGCGGCACACGTCTCCTCGGCTTGCGGTACCACCCAGACTCCACGTGGCAGGAAGTTGGCATACTAAACGTGCCTCCACATAAGCCCCTCGGCTTCTCTATGCTTGAACATGCCTGAACGGAAATGATTGACCGTGTTTGTTGTATTCGTTGGCGATGGCAGGGGCCTCTTCACGGCAGTGGCTGTTAGAATGGGACGTGCTGCTTGGCTTGAAGTTCCAAGGGAACGATTCGGTACCGGACCTGATTTTGGAGAGTTGTCGGCGATGGTTAGTCCGCACTAACCCAACAAGACCTACACGTGGGTTTATCGGCTTAGCCGCGAGCCGCAGCAGTTTAGATGTTAAACATCAACAGGCTCACAACGCCAAGACACGACAGGGAAGTTCACTATGCATAGTCACTATGCATAGCGAAACGACAAAGCACTATGCAAGAACATTTGTCTATGTTGGCAGCAGAACGCTTCAAGGAAATGCGACGCACTCTTGCACAGGACGGTACAGCATGGACCGAAGTTACGAGCGGAAACGTTCGAGCGGCACGCGCACGCACGCACGCACGCACGCACGCACGCACGCACGCACGCACGCACGCACGCACGCACGCACGCACCCACG